ATTCCGAGAGGAACCAACTTTAACTTCGAACTCGGAAATCGTCAGCAGATTGTAATCCCTACTGCAACCATGGTTCCTTCAGCATATCATCATCTTCAATTTCAGCAACAACAACAACAAAACCAACAACATCAAAACTACATGTTCTCTGTGAATGGTAGTGAAAGTGGTGATGCCTTTGTCCAGAGAGTTAACAACTCCAGAAGGAGCAGACTAGACATGGAGGTCCCTGATGGGCCTAGGGCTTCTTCCTCGAATGAGAACCAGAATACCAACAATTACATGCTTTGAGAAGGATGTGAAAGAGAAAGTTAGGTACTGACTTTTCTTAGGGAGCAACATTGACCAAATCAACTATCGAATTATGCTTTTTTTTCTTTTTTGTGTTTTTATTCCATGTGCACGCGATTTTTATTTTATTTTTCAGTATATCAATGTTTACGTTGGTTTATATCCAGCTTTTTAAATGTAAACGTATGTTTGAAAATCACGTTTTTAAAGTTTTTTTTATTAAAAGCGTGATTTAAACGCACACTTTTTTGTTTAAAAGTGTGAGTTCAAACATGTTTTCATGTAAACAACGGTATATTCAAGAATAGAATAAAAATCGCATAAATATGGAATAAAGTTGAAAAAGAATAGTAATTTGATATTAAAAAAAAAGAAGAAGATAAGTTTTAATATTTTTTACTACAACTGGTAGGCTTTGGTGATGCTCTAGTGACGGACTACCCTTTTAGATAAATAGTTACGGTTCAAACCGGACAATGGTTATTACCTGCTAATCGCCCTCTATGTTATGTTGTTCTTTTCAGTTTCGTTTTCTGTTAATTATATCATTTGTATATTTCCAAATGTTGTTTCTTTGTTAGCTCTTTGGCTGAACTAGAATCTTGTATATAAGTTGAAGTTTTGGCAATGTTTGCCTCTTTATTCTCTAATAGTGTTCAATATGCTTGTATTTGTCTTTTCATGATTAATTGTTCTAACTTTCGAATGATGTAACTATAATATAAAAAAAAAATTATCCACAAAAGAACTAAGAGGGACCCGAAAAACGCCAAAGTTGGAACATAAAAAATCAATTTTTTACTTTTATCGGGATTAATCTTTGACCTCTGATTGGTAAAATTTTTAGAAAATCGAAGGTGACCACTAGGTTTAAAGATATGCTTGCATTTATTTGGCTTTTTAAGGCTGCTTTTAACATTATTTGTAGGTAAATTATGTCTATATTTCATCAGATTTAGTAAAACTAACAAAACACTCAATAATACTTGAAAGTGACCTTCAAATATTAGGTGATTTCATATCATTTTATCAAAGCTTTTAGGAGTGTAAACTTAAAATTCCAAGAATAATACTTCCCCTCTCTCAACTCTCATCCCAATAAAAAAGACAAAAATAAAAAATAGTGAGAAGTTTTTTTTTGGATGCGAGGGGAGCGGGGCAGGAAGGCATACAAAAGAGGACTACATATCTTAGTTACGATATTGTTTGAATTTAAATCTCATTTAAAAAAGAAATTACATGCCTTTGTTACAAATTCTGTTTGATAACTACATAATGATCAAATTTCATTCTAAAAACAATATTATACATCTCAGTTACGGTATTGTTGAAAATAAAAATTGGTATATATCAAATCTCATTTCATTTATCAAAAAGCAAAAGAGAGGTAGAAACCACAATTTTCGAATATTTTCAACTATGCTTGTGTGCGTGGCCTTTCAACCAATTAGAATTCAACTGAAAAAGACTGATTTGAGTGAAATATGGGGGATGGGAAGAGGGGGTGAATGTGAGCTTTTCTTGGGGCCCATGCACACGAAAAGAAGAAAAATACTTTTCATTAGGTCAAGTATGTGCACTAATCCTTGTTAAGTTGAATGCATTAGGGTGCTTTTTTGATTCATTTAGATTCCATCAATCTTTATTTTTGGTGGAATAACACTATTAGGGTTGAGTAATTTTCAATATTACGATTCCAACGACATCAATTAAATCAGTGTGTCTATTTTATGATTAGGTGTAGTTTGAATAAATGTGTTACAGACGATATAGTTGAAATTCCACTACGAGCAGTAAAAGTCTTAGCAATGAATGAGAGATATAGATGAAAAAAAATAAATAGTAGTACACTCGGTCAGATCTAAGAGGGAATTATTGGATATTAAATCGATTTTTTGGCTAAATTTTCGTTTTATCGTGATGTCATTCCTTATGTATTGTGATTTCTAACTTATTTAGTAATCTATCGTTGTTTACAATAGAACATAGTTTGAAATCATGTTCTTTCATGTGAAAACATATTTGCAACATATGCTTTTAAAATTGAAAAGCATGAGTTAAAACCATGTTATTCTTCTTCTTTGGGTCACTGCAATCGTCATTGTCATCATAACAAATAGTTTGTTGTTGAAAGATTAATAGAAATGATTGACCACGTTTTGAGAGTGCTACAATTTTTTTCTTTTTGGACAATTAAAGATACTAAGTGAATCATGGTAATATAAGGTAATAACACATAGCCCCCGTGTGTTTTATTCTAATTTTGGTGATGTTGTCACTTTTTCTTTTGCAAAATTTCAAAACCACCAATATGGGACCCACTTCCATACCAACAAAAAATACCACAAGCACCCAATAATTTTGAAATTTCCATTAGAACCCCATAAATTGCCTACTTTTTAAATCACTATCTCTCCTTCCTCTCTCTACACACACCGATACAAATAAACCCACTACTAATTTCATCCCAAAAATCCCTAAACATTAAAGTCCCACCACCACCACCCCTTGATCTGTACAAACCGATTGCTCTCTTTTGCCCATAACATTCCCAACCTATCCACCCAAACCTAGCACACTCAAAAAGCCACCTCCACCACCATGAATCCATTTTACTACCACAAAATCACCACTTGTTATTTTAGAAACATCCACCTAGTCATAGGAAAAGATAACTCAAGATCACCACCATCTGTTTTATTCCAAACACCACCACAATCACCTGCTCACAGTGATAAACAACAAAAAATCACCAGCACCTCTATTATTCATAACAAAGTTAACCACAAAACCTATCAACACAAACCCTTCTGGTCATCAACAATCAATTCCATCATTCAATGTGTTGCAGAGGAGATGTCATTTTGCTTGTGTGTGTGTTTTTTGGTTTTTTTTTTTTTTTTTGAGGGGGGAGGGGGGAAGACAACGAAATTAACTAAACTTGTTTCGTTATTGACAGTGGAGGAGATGGTGGTTGTGGCAGGAGTGGCCTGACACTAGTAGGGGCTTTAGGCCAAAATGCTAAATGAGGTGCTATTATGGAACTATAAATGACTAAACCTACATAGACAATCAAGTAATATTATTTTGTACTGGTGAAACATAATTCAAAAACAATGCACCATTTAATAGTTATGAACGATAAAAAGTTATGGTTGTATTAAAAAAAAAATTAAACTACAATAAATCGAATTACAGGTTCAAAAATTACATGATAAAGAAATAAATTATCATACAGGATTACAATTTAGGGTAACTTAGAGTTGAGTTGAGATTAGATTTACGATTCAAGATTAGTAATTTTGACAAACTACATGATGAACCCATTCTGTTTAGGGTCATGTGAATGTGGATCGTTGGACGCTTGGCACAGAGAACAACTATGGAGATAATACCGTACTCCTTACAAAGCTGACAGTTCAACTTCCCGAGTGCAAGGCCGATACACCACAAAAGTGCTGTCGTTTGAGAAAGACCCAGGATTGAAGCATGTAATTCCTGTGTAATTGAATGCCTTCTGCTCACTTTTGTCCCCCAACACTATCTGTGCAAGAATGGCAAAAAAACATACAGATGTTATACCACCACAATTGAGTGTTGTACTTCTTCAAGATTTAGAAACAGATTGGAAAAAATAGTTCATCCAAAAAGAATTGGTAGAATTCCAACCTTTCCCTACCCTGGAAACATACAAGATGATGTGTTTTCATTATGTAGGTCAATCAACATACTCATAAGATCACAATTCATGTTGGGGAAAGGAAGGCATTCAACTAAGGGCAGTAGTAACTATAGCATCTCATCTCAAGGCCGAGGAGATGTGCAGTACAAAGGTTTTTCAAAAAATTCAACATTTTAGAATCCTTTCGGATTTAATTCCATATAACTCATTACTAATACTCACGTTTTCTATGGGTACATGCCATTATTTTTAATGTACTCTACTCCTAAATTAGGAAAGAAATTCCCTACATTGAAGGAGTGGCGTGAACTCAAGCACCTAGGCCTGACATTAGGTTATGTCATTTTATGTTTGTGTCGTTTCTATGTCACGTCGCACCAAATTTTACTCAACATGTTATCTACCCTATTTATAGAATGCATAGTCTGATTCATGTTGTATCAGTTTCATCTTTCATGCCTGATACAATCAAAATGCCAGATATAATCGATTCTCTCGTAATTCACAATTACATTCTCTGGAATATTTTCATTCCTAAATCTATTCTTTCTAGTTTTACGACTCATCCATCTTAACATTCTTATTTCCACCACACTCAATTTTTGAATGCCTAACATTCGGTATCGTAAAGTATGATAAATCTTAAGGTTGTTTTATAATGCTTCCGTTTCTGCTTAACATGTGTGTGCTGATCTTACAATAGACCAAATGCATTTCTCTATTTAGTCTATATTGCTTCCCTTGTATGAGTACCATCACCACCAATCTCATCATCTCTATGGATAGTTTTCCTCAAGTGTTGAGAGTATTGACCATCTCCTTTACTTAAGTTACATGAAATATATTCAACTTCAATCACACTTTGCTTGAACCATTTTCACTCCAAAGCTCTAGACAAACTTCTAAGTGATTGTTAATTCTTTCTTTAGTTTCATCAACTAATATAATGTCATTAACATACAATATACACCATGAAAAGTCATCTGGAATGTGTTTAGCCAATTCATTCATACTTGAAGCAAAAAAATATGGACTCGACGTAAAACTCAGACGTAAGGCTACAATGATTAGGAATTCATGAGTTACCCTAATAGTTGTCACTAAAGTCATTGCAACATTTGTTACACCATGATGCAGGTACAACGCATCGCTTAAGAAGAATATACCACTATTTACGCAAACTCTGATAGGATTTAGGGTTGACAAATTTTATGTTATTCGTGGGCTATCCGGCACAACCGTTCTGTTTTAGTCAATCTTGGGACTAGCTGTATAATTATCCTCTACAGGGAATAAAATACCTTTATAAACAATAGTCTATCATCCTCATTGTCAAAAATCAAGCTAGCATTTTGTTCAATCTTATAAAATATAGAGAAAAGAACCCAACAACACCATTTTGGGAGCCATGATCTTCAAAAAAAAAGTTAAATGAGCAATACCGTATGTGGAGTCGGATAGAGGTGTAGACAGTGATCATAATTCCAGAGAATGGGTTGTACACTCAGAGCGAGGGGACACAGATGACTTTGATGCGTTATGGTAGCCACAAGCTGTCACAAAGACAAGAAACCAATTAGCTTTGTCAGCTTCCATAACTATTAAAAATAATAAGCTACGTCACATTAAGTGAGATGGGGAAAATTAAACTCACATGCTCAAAAGGATCACTAGTTTCTTCCGTTGAAGGGGGAATCAAGCATGACCTACGCATTCTATAAAGTAGATCCTGACGGAAAAATACGATTTCTTGGGTATAAAACTTGATTCTGGATTCAAACAAGAATTGGTCAGCAGTTAAGACAACTAAAATTTATCAGTGAGTTTTAGTAGGCACTTGAAACATGCTTTCTATTTCAAGCCGAACTAGTAACCTAAGAGAAATAAAAAGTTGAAAATGACAGTACAGAGGCTAGCAATTCGAATAAACAAAAAGTTGAAAATGAAGCACCATCAAACAGTGACACAGACTACCCTTATGCTGCTTTTTCTTCAAAATAAAAATATGTTTCTGGCAAGTGACCAGACAGATTACCTGCACGGGTTACTCGAAAATATGGCATTTGGTATATGCTTTTGAAGCTCTTCAGTTATGTATTTTGGCAAAGCACACCGGGGTAGAACTGTTGAAGGACCTGAAAATGCCAACCAAAGAAATGTTTTTAAATATGATATGCGCATCTAGGATAATTTGCAGAAACATGCGATGATGAACAAGACACACCTACATCATCAGGACCAGGAATAAATAGAAATCTACTGTGCTCTTTTAATCGTTGATGGGCTCCAATGATTTGCCCTAGCTTTCCAAACTGCGTTCTGTATACCGTGGTGTTTTTTTTTTTAAGCTGATCCAATAACCAACATGAACATGAATGTACAAAACAATAATCTTATCTGAACCCTCACCTGAGACTTGAGAAAGAACTAAAAGAAAGGTTACATGGATGAGAATGGAAATTTCCCATGAAGACAAACAGAGAAGGAACGACCTCTACATTCTCATAACCAGCTAGAACAGTATGTAGCTTTCCCATAGTCTTCTCTACGGATAAGAGAATATTGAGATTAGGGAATGCTATTCAGGAAAGCCAAAACTAATTCAATTAGATAAACACCAAGGCATCAATACCTCCTCATTGTCCAGCCAAATGTCAGAGAGTATAACAAACATGTCATTCACTGCCCTTGTCTCTAGCTCTGCAAGTCTTAGCTATCAGAATTGTTAGGAAAAACTTCATACTAATTGTTGTGCCCAACAACTGACTGTAAAGAATGAACTAGACAAGTTTATTTCCGCATGTCTATCACTGGTCTGCAAAAGGATACATTGTCCTCTTTTGTAAGTGTACCACTACCAAAGAAGTCAAGCCCGGCAAATAATGCAATTGACTTATCTCTGTCCTCTAAAGGAGGAAATCCACATGTTTTGACCTACATATATTATTGTAACAAAATGAATATCAGCATGTTTTAGGAAATAAGCAAATAAATGCTTTAAAAGCTATTGGAAAACTGGGCAACCTGATGCCTTGATGTCTAACACCTAGAGTTGGAGCCTGGAATTTATTATTTGGGGATGGGGTACAAGTCCCCAGGAATGGAAATGTTGGCCATTTCTTAGCCACATCTACATAAAAGATATTAGAGCATGCTCAACTTGCAGCATACTTTAGCCATTCGTATGATAACATATTTATCAGGAATTAAAAAAATCAGAAATTAAATGTGAATGAAGTCATGTCTCGTACATGCTAATTAAATGGATTGCAAATTTCATGAATATACATGTGACTTAATTCCAGAAAATCTGAAACTGGGGGTAAAATATCTTGAAAACTAAAATTGCCGTCCAATTGCATGTAGCATATCAAAAAATTCAAGCTATTTTGTTGAGTTTTGACAGCAAAACAGCCTACATCCTTAGCACTTTGGAAACATTATGAAATCCCAAAATTAGCAAAGGGGAAGATTTTTTAATTAGCTGAATGCTTCATGGCAAAGAGTTTCTTGCAATGCCTAGATTGTGTCTGTCTTAACAAAAGGTCAATACAAAATGTCAATCCATTAAAATAAACAGAGCCGGGAAGAACTTGACTAATCAAGGATTTGCTCAGAGCCCTTCTATGTATATTTAACAAAAACTTCCATGGCTCTCTGAAAGCTTTTACTTTAGTCCTTGGAAATGACAAATATGTGTCAAATGTACCTGCATTACTCAACGACCTTTTAGAAAAGAAGTTATGTTCCAAAATCCCCAAAAGACAACCTTTATCTGACGCCTATCAAGAAGCTATCTTTCCCTGACCGATTAGAAACCGTAGAACTTCCTCGCTGTATGATAAAATTTCCAGTTCAGATTTGGATTTTTTTCAACCATCAAGGCAGAAGGACTCAGATTGGTCTTGCTATCATTTATAGTGGTGCTTATTGGGATTCAGATAATAAAACCACTGAGTGTAGGCTTTTTGGGAAATATTCCTGAAAAAAGTTGGTTAAACTGATTGATGTTGCAATAAAACCAGAAGATGAGGATAGTAGTTAATGGATTTGACATATAATTTTAAATCCATTCAGATTTGTCTAAAGTTTTTCACCTATTTAAACTGTTTCTTGTTTGCCTTATGAACAATGTGCAATGATCACGAATCTGATCCCAAATGCCAGAATGTGTTTGGTTCAAATGCTCACAAATCAATCCTATACTTTTATCTTCCAATAAAAAGATCCTATGCTTTATAGATTGTACAATTTCTTGTTGCAGGTTATAAGTTTAACACCCCCCCCCCCCCGTGGAAGGATAAGCATGGAAAGAAAATAGTCCACCTTTTTATGATGCAGTCATTAATTAGTTTCCTCTCATGACTTTTTGAAACCCACCCTAAAAGGGAATATGCATCAAAAATTTCCAGAATTATGGACCAAAAACCAAGACTCCAGCCAGCCCTTGAGCTCATATCTTCATTGGTTTCTCTCTCATTCGATCAAACACAGTCAAGTGGCAACTAATATGCAATAAGAGGTAGGAAGTTTTGTTTGTAGTTTTAGGTACTTTATGGACTTCACTTATTCATAATTCCTCACTAGAAATAAGTTAAAGTTGTGTAGCATCAAAGAAGCCAGAAATTGTACCATCTTCTAGCACACTCCAGGTTCATACCACTGCAGTAGGGTAATAATTGTCACATCATTCAAGCAAGTTCACCACATATGCTACCACAATAATGAACTTAATTGATGCAAGGTATCTATTATCATATTGAGGGTTAAGGACTTGAGATTACTCTGATCAAGGACTTAATATTGGCTGTTAAAAGGTTTTCTAAATCCATAAAAAGGCTTGCACCCATCTTTTACAAATCATTGATTGTCAAGGTTATCAAAATTCCTCATCCAGATCATAGGATTCTACGATCCTACGATCTTGTATAGGCACTTGATTCGAGTGTCTTGAAAAAACCCTAGTTGAGAGGATCTTAATTGATCTTGATCCACACCTTATAGAATTGTAGGATCCCACCAATGGCGATGTTACCGATTCAAGTTGTTGAGTTTGTTATGTGCATTTGTTATTGAAGTCACCCACCCATATGATTGCTATCGTACTTGAAGACTCAATCCAAATGTGATTGTTTCGTATGCTTATCGGCCTATTGGGGAATTTTGTAGATGAGAAAGCTATAGAAAACCTCTTTCATTACAGAAAAGCTTGCTTCATTCGTTCATATTTGTCATTGACAATTGAAACAAAGATAAGGATTGTTTTCTTCTCTTTCAGTGATTGAACATAGCACTTTCATTCTCTTCTGTTTGTTTTTTTTTTTTGTTAGATATCAAACAATCAACAGTCTTTCAACTTTTTCACATCTCCTCCATATTTGCCTCTCTCTAGAAGTTAAATACCAAACTACTCCACTTTTCCTATTGCTCTTCGCAACATTACACAAGATTAATAGTCCACCACTGATTTTCAACAATTTTTAATATCAAGATTATAGTTTGTCAAATTCTAATCACATCTCTAAATTTTATATGTTTTTCATAATATTTCAACATTCTGCGTACGTACTAGGCTTGTTTTATTTTTGTTTATAATGATTCTTTATCATTACATATATTTTTCGTCTCATTTATTAAGTTCATAGGAATTTGCCTCCCCTAAAGATCACCAATGGTTTGACATTTCATTTTTTCTTTCTCTTGATAAATGATATAGGTATTAAATATGAATTTTTACTCATTCTTCTTTTATGCGGAAACAACCTCTCTATATGTAGGGGTAAGGTTGCGTACATTTGACCCTCCCCAAACCACGTAGTGGTGGGAGCCTCGTGCACCGAGCCACCCTTTTTTACTCAAATTCTTCTTTTGTTTCTCCACTCTTCTACGCGTTCTTCTTATGGTTCTTCTTCTCTTTATGTTCCACTTTTTGTTCTCATTTCCATGAAGAAACAAAGAATATTGTTGTAAATCTAGCCGCAATTTGAACCATATGAAGCTTTACAGACCCTAATTATATTCCTCAATTTGTTTCCTAGTAATTGGTGGACTTCCCTTATCTATTCCACAGCAACCTTAATCCTAGTTGTTTATAATCATGGAAGTTATGAACATTTTAAATGATCACATAGAGTCAAAGAGAACAATGTCTACTTCAATAAGGTTTTCAGTCAACTCAAGTAGAAAAGATGCTAGGAGTAAAAAAAAGGGCTTAGAGGAGCATATGGCCCTAAATAAAGCTCTATGGCAATGAAAGATCCACAAGGGCTAGTCAAGTAGTAGTTATATAAGGCTTAATTGGGCAGATTTCCAGTTCAATTCCATAATAAGTATGTTTCAAGAAGCTAAAAGATCAAGTGTTTAAAATTTACGTAATGATTTCCCTCTTAATCGGTAGAGCACTATTATAATGAATAATCAACTATTATGACCGAATAATACATGAATAGCAGATGAGATAGCATCCACATAGGGGTGAAGAGTAGCCTATTCCGAGCACAATTGAATCCCCAAAGAGCAGGACCACAATAATCAAGCTTGCCCTTGGCAACCATTGACCCCCTCGAACTCTTGGTTGCAGAATTGTGAGAGAATTGAGGGTGGGCAACTCGGCTAAGTCAGTTGGTTAAAACAATTTTAAATAACTAGAGTACAAACTAGTCATTTCGTCTATAGGCAATAGTAATTTAACAAAATTAACCAATGTCAAGCTTAATAAGAAAGTTGAAAACTGACCTGAAAAATACCATCCAAAAGCATCTCACCATCTGCTAAAACTATAGTGTTTTCAGCAAAATAACCTGTGGTTATTTTGTACTGCGTGTTAAAGAAAACTATTATCTCAAATTCTGTTCTACTAGCATCGTAACAAACAAAAGGCGAAGTAATGTCAAAGCAATATCCGTGCATATAAGCGAATTACAAAGATAAGACATAATCCCAAGCTACCAATGTACAAGAAAGTAGGTGAATCAATCCTCAATGTAGGGTATGATCTATCCTGGCATTTCAACAAAACCTAAGGATCAAATTGATATTACAGTTTCAATTGATTCAATTTATTCATGATCAAAGCACAAAATAAACAGAACTTAGGATGCAATAATGTCCATGATGCTGCATGTTATAGTTACATAACTGTTAGAGGGAGAAGTTATAGGGCTTCAACTGCAACAAAAAAAATTAAAAATTAAAATCCCAAAAAAATGAGTCAAAGATAAGAAGAGTTAAGTAGCTCAGAGGAACCTCAACAACGGATTATATAAATAAGTATACCAATGCGTACTGTGACATACTTGGATGGAACTCCAAAGAATAGGGTGTATCAAGACAATTCAATATCAAAAACATATGCAACAGTAGTTTATATGTACTGGGCTTAGTGTTAGGTTTAAGACCTTATGATTGTTAATTTGATCACTTGTGTTAGAGCTTGTATGAAGAAAGTAGCAAACACATAAAGAATATTCGATGCAAGCCACAGCTTAAATACTACAAGTGATCAACAAATGTATGCAGACTTCAACAGCTTTCAGAAGACTTTAAGTCTCATTCGGAGTAGAACAAAGATTAGCTGGAACACATTAGGTTAGGCACATTTCATATGATTAGCTAGCAGTTTTAAGTGAAAATAGTGTAAAAAATCAAAATTCTGGGAGGTCTAATGGGAATTTTAGATAGTTTGGAATCTCAAACACTAGTATAATCATTTCTTATCAAAATACACTATATAATCATTAAAAAATAACATCTCTAGGGTGATTTGGAAGGACTCGGAGTGATTAAAACTCCCCCCCCCACCCAAAAAAAAAAAGACTAAGTATCACTAGCTCAAGCTCCTTGAAGAAAAAACCCACCAAATTTATCTTGGATTTGTATCTTGTAATTCACACTTCGACAATGGTTGGAATTAGGAAATCAGTTGGCCAGTCTAAGCAAAATGGACAAAATACCGTTGCTTATCTTACCGAAGCAGGAGAAAAAAAGATGGCAAATAGTTAAAGGAATTTTAAATAGTACTATTCATAGAGCGAAGGATATTGCATTAGACAAATTGATTTCAACAGCTGCAGTAAGATCCTCCAAGTAGAAATGACCATCTTCGAATTGTGATATTACTCCCATCACCCACCTCCTCCCCGTACACCCCACCAGGGATTGAATTTGGGATATCTGCCAATACACATATAAATACATTATGATCTTCCTCTCTCTTTTTTTTTTTTTAATTGAATAAATAGTTACACTGGCAAACGGCAATAATTTACATTGTATTCAAAAGCTTTGGCTCTTTATATTTAAATGTTACGGTTGTGTGTCAATCAAAAAGGGAGAGCAGGAGGGGGAGGAAGACTACCTCGCAGCTCCCAAATTGAGAAATGTCAGTGTCAAATGCAAGCCTAGCAAAATGTGGGTCACGAGAAAGCCTCTGAAGCAACAACAGAAATCTGTCCCTATACAAGGTGGCTTTAGCAGAAGCATCGCCATGAATTGGAAGCCCCCCTTTATGTCTACAACCAAAAGTAAATAATATTACCAAAACCACCATATTACCAAACGACCAAATGAACAATAATAACAATGCCTATTCTTTTCTCGACATGAGGTAATTGATTACAATGTTTTACTAAAAATTAATCCCACAAGAATAAAAAGGGGACCATTACTCAAACCTGTGACAAACTGCAAATTGAGATGGTTCCAGAGCAATTGGGCCATCTCACATCATGCAATAACAATGTTGATCTCTAAACCCAAGCCGAAATATACAACTCAAATAACCCACAATATTCTCTCTTTCCAATTGCTATGATGAAATTCAACATTTTTACAATCCTTTTTTTTTTTTTTTTGAAAACATTTTACAGTCCAATTAACTGCTACAAAACTAAGGAAAAGAACCCAACAAAACAATAATTTTATGATCGATTTTTGTTAGTTCAATTTATTAAAAAGAAATTGTAAAAACACAATTATACGCACTCATAGAAGATTTTTTTAACATGATCATATTGGAACTTTGGAATGTCAAAGACGTCAATTATACGGAGAGCAGATCTGCTGGTATCACTACTATGAGGCCCTTCCTCAACGGCGGCCGCTTCGGCTTCCAATAGAAGGCTCACCACCCGATGAACAGGTTCTTTGTCCAGTATTGAAGATTTCACTGCCAATAACCACAATTCCACAATAAGTAAAATACACTGTAAAAGATGAACCATAATTGGGGAAGTTATAAATCATATAATGCATACGGGATTGGTGTTGAAGCTCGTCGAGGAGGAGATCTAGGGCTTCGTCTTCGGCGTCTTGGAAACGGCTAAGGAAAGAGAGGATCTCGGTTAGGGCTTCGACCTTGAGGGTGTAACCTCTCATCTTGAACTTCCTCTGTACCTTGTTCCTCATTATGCCGTTCATCTTCTTCAACTTCTCTCTCTCTCTCAGAGTCTCTGGTGGTGGTTGCTGTGGAAGTGGAATTGGCGGAATACCACACTTTTTTTCTGCGGAAACTGGCGGGAAAAAAATTCTGAGGAGTCAGAAGGATCGGGATAATGGGTGATGGGTCGGATATATTATATAATAAAAAATATATAAATCATAAAAATTTAATTAACAAAATTATGTAATATGTTAACCGACGATACTCAGAATGATTTCTGAAATAGAGGTCAAACATGGAGGTCAAGTATGCTGAGTTCAGAAAGTCAGAGCTCTACAGAGCTCAGAAAATCAGAGTTAGAGCTCCTCTCAAGCGAGATAATAAGCTGAAGCAGTGAGGAAGCAATTGGTTACTGCGAGGAACTCGACAGGCGGTTTGAAATAACACTCAAGGCACAAAATCCTCGATCAACCGAGATACTCTCCTAAAATTAAGGAGAATTCCTCGGATAGATGACAAGGATCACATATCAGATCTCATAGATTAAGGGATACCCTTATAAATACTATGTAACGCCCCCAACAGAGGGGCAAGAACTCTAGTATCACATCTTACATTATGTAAACCTTTTAGTATAGTAAATAGTGAAGAAAGGAACAAGAATCTCTATTGAAGAGTGGATAAGCCGAGCTCTCAAACTAGTGAATCACTATATTTCTACTGTGTTAATCCCCCAATTCTCCAACAATTCTCAGTATCATTCTCTCGAGCCAAGTAGCTCAGATCTCAATAATTCTAATATTATTTTTTTCATTTACTTGTCATCACAAAATTACGTCACGTTGAAGTACACCATTAGTGGAAAACGACTGTTCTTGTTATAAATAAATTGATCTTTCAGTGATTAATGGTATCAACGCGAAACATGAGCCGAAGTCAGACAAATCCACCACGGATGCAAGAAAAACAAGAAACTACTAATAGCAGACAACCTGATAACGTCCAAGAGACCAATCCACCCGTGGGGGGTCTCCCCATGAATAACAAGATGGAGGCCTTTCACCTCGTCAATCAACGGTTGCTGAAACAAAACGAAGAACTCTTAAAGTTTTTACAATGCCCACAGGAGGCGCGACAGACTCAAGAAGGCCAGACACAACCCACCACGTAGGGAGCAACCGCACCTTAACCCCCTCAGGGAAGTCAACGAAGAAAGGGAAAATAGTCAAACCATGGGGCCAGAACCTCGCATACCCCCCAGGAATGGACACAATGAAGAAGTACAAAGTTAGAATAACGGGGGCGAGATGAACGATTTTTTCCCCTATCAACAGGAAAGGAGAGAACGGTACTGAGAGCAGCGCTTCTAGGGTATCCAGCAAGAACTCAGCCACATGAAGGAAGCCGTGAGAAGCAAGGCTCTAGTTACGATGGATGCCTTGATACAACAGACTAAATCTCCGATCACAACTGGCATGCTGCATTTTTTCCTCCCTCTAAAATTCAGAGTACCGTAGATAAAGGCTTTTAATGGAATAAAGGATCCCGTAAATCACCTCAACACTTACAAGAACTAGATGGAGTTGAATGGATATCAAGATCCAGTGCGCTGCAGAGCCTTTGTCATCACACTGAAAGGCTCAGCCCTAGCATGGTTCAATAGGCTCCTCTCAGCCTCGATATCCTCCTTTAAGGAGCTATCCATATCCTTTGTGTCTCACTTTATAGAAGCTCGAACGAATAGAAAGCCGAGTTACCAGTTGCTAAATGTGAAACAGGGATCCCACGAGAACCTCAGATCCTATGTTCAGAGGTTCAACTCGGAATCACTGAAAGTGGAAGTCCCAGACGAGAAATTTGTCATTACTGCATTTATAGCTGGTTTAGGCGTACAATCTAAAGACCTGATATTCTCTATTTCAAAAAATCCCTTGGCCAAGGCAGAAAAGTACATAAACGGCAAAAAAGCTCTCCTCTCAAAAATGAGGAGCTTATCCATGCAAAAAGACAAAGGAAAAGAGGAGAAAAAGAGGGATCAAAGTCCCAGAAGAGAAAGAGGACGAGATAGATCCCCAAGGAGAGACAGAGATCAGTCCCCCAAAAGAAGGGGAGACGTCAGAGATCGCTTGGGACCACCTCATCCAGAATTGTAGTCGAGGTACGCACCTCAGCAAGTCCCTCTATTCACTATAACAATGTCGCAAATCTTGTATGAAGTATAAAATAAAAAATTTCTGAGGTGGTCACCTCGTATAAAAGCAGACTCGGCAAAAAGGGACCCCTCAAAGGTACTGTGAGTACCACATAGACTATGGTCATCACACTGATGACTGAATTCAGTTGAAAAAGGAGATAGAGTTCCTAATCTAACGAGGGCAGTTGCGTCGTTACATAGCCCAGGAGAATCAAAATCGAGCCCCACCACCTCCACCACCTTAGTTGCAGGCTCCTGCGCAGCACCAACAACCCCTAAGAGAGATCAAGGTAATATCATGGGGTTTTGCAGGAGGCGGGGAATCTAGTTCAGCTAGGAAAGCCCACTTACGCAGAATCAGAGCTGGTAAGGCTCTGGAGGTGTACGCTGTGTCTGAGGCACCACGGCTGAGCTCAGACATCATATTCTCAGATGCAGACTTGGAAGGATACCAACACCCCCATGACGACCCGCTGGTGGTAAGGGCTATTGTGGCCAACAGAACTGTTCACCAGGTTCTGATAGATAATAGAAGCTCAACAGATATCATATTTGCTTCCGCATTTGACAAAATGAGCATAGGAAGGAAAAAATTGGAGCTCGTGAATACTCACCTGTTGGGATTTGCAGGAGAATGGGTGTTGTCGCTAGGCTCAATCCAGCTTGTGCTCACTATGGGAGACCTCCCTACCAAGCAACCACTACAATACGATTCCTAGTGGTTGATGCCCCCTCTGCATGCAACATACTTCTCGGGAGACCTTCTCTCAATGAAATTAAGGCCATCCCTTCGACCTATCATCTGGTCATGAAATTCCCTACGGAAAACAGAGTTGGAGTGGTCCGAGGAGATCAACGGGTTGCAAGAGAATGTTACTTGACTTCGATGAAGCAGAAAGAAGTTGAAAACATACGACTAGATGAGCTGGACATGAGGGACAAACTGGGCACTAAGCCAACACCATTGGAAGAGCTGGAGCCAGTTCAGTTTGATGAAGAGCCAGAACATCTCGTCTACATTGGGACTAAACTGAGTATAGAGGTTAAGGCCCTTCTCATCCTGTTCCTGAAGAAGAATATGGGGATGTTCGCTTGGAAACAAGAAGACATGGAAGGCATTGACCCCTCGGTTATCATTCACAAGTTGAGTGTGAATCCTACTTGTAAGCCTGTCAAGCAGAAGCAAAGGAGTTTCACCCTAGAGCATCAGAAGGCAATCAATGAGGAGGTCGACAAGCTTCTTCACGCCAGAGCTATCAGGGAAGTAGATTACCCTACCTGGTTAGCCAACGTGGTTCTTGTCAGGGAAATCAACAGCAAATAGCGACTCTACATAGACTTTACTGATCTCAACCGAGCATGCCCTAAGGATAGTTTTCATTTACCCCGTATCGATTTAATAGTGGATGCCACCGCTGGGCACGAACTCCTCAGCTTTATGGACACTTTCTCAAATTATAATCAGATCATGATGAATCCAATCGACCAGGAGAAGACCTCTTTCGTGACTGAGCAGGGGACTTGCTTCTATCAGGTTATGCCTTTTGGGTTGAAGAACGCGGGAGCTACTTACCAGCGTCTGGTGAATCGAATGTTTCAAAGGCAAATTGGAACATCCATGGAGGTCTATATCAATGACATACTGGTGAAGTCACTGAAGGCAGAGCTCCACATTGCACACCTAGCAGAATCGTTTCAAGTCCTTAAGGAATATAAGATGAAGCTAAACCCTGCCAAATGTGCCTTTGGAGTATTTTGGGGGAAAATTTCTGAGTTTCATAGTAAACAACAGAGGAATAGAGGCTAACCCCGAAAAAGTTAAAATAGTCCTAGATATGCAGCCACCATCTAACGTAAGAGAAATCCAACGCCTGATAAGGAGAATAACAGCCTTGGGACGCTTTGTGTCTGGATCAAGCGACAAGTACCAACCTTTCTTTCAAGTCCTAAAAAAGGCATTCCATTGAGATACTCGATGCGAAGAGGCATTTAGGGCCCTGAAGATTTACCTGAGTTCCCCACCTCTGCTGGCAAGCCCCTCGGAAGGGGATGTACTTACTCTATATCTAGCTGTTTTAGATTTCTCGACCAGCGCAGCTCTGGTGAGGGAGAGAAACAGAGCTCAGCAGCCGGTCTACTACTGCAGCAGATCTTTAAGGGGGGCAGAGGAGAGATATCCAAAAATGGAAAAACTAGCTTTGGCTTTGGTAACCACAGCCAAGAGACTTAGACCATATTTTCAGGCGCACACCATCGAGGTACCAACAGAGCAGCCAATGAAACAAGTGCTACATAAACCGGAGTCCTCAAGAAGGCTAGTAAAGTGGGCTATAGAGCTCAGTGAGTTTAATATTAGGTTCAAGCCAAGAACTACAGTCAAATGACAGATTTTAGCGGACTTCATTGCAGAATTCGCGACACTAAAACCTTTGGAGACCACGCAGCTGATACCCGACCTCCCCACATGGAAGCTTTCCATAGATGGAGTCGCCAATGCTTAGGGGAGCGGGGCAGACTTAATCTTAACCTCCCCAGATGGAGTAGATGTCTAATACGCACTCAGATTTGGGTTTAAGGCTTCAAACAACGAGGCAGAATACGAGGTTGTCATAGCTAGACTCAACCTTGCTCATTCAATGGAGGTAGAACAGTTGGAGATCTGCAGCGATTCTCAACTAGTGGTAAAACAGATAGAAGAGTCTTACGAGGCTAGAGGCAAAAAAAATGGTGTTTTACCTTAGGAAGGTACAGGAGCTAATCAAGAAGTTTGTACGAGTCCAGATTAGACACGTCCCAAAAGCTAAAATCTCACGAGCAGACACCCTGGTGAGGCTGGCAATAGCTTCTTAGGAAAGTTTGGACAGATGAATTCTGGTGGAACACCTAGCTGAACCATCTATATGTAGAGAAGATGAAGAGGTGTTGCATGTGCACACC